TTGTGTGGTGATAATAGCCCAAATATTCCGACTGTGAAACATTGTAAAACAAAAACAACAACAACAACAACGAAAAAGTTTTTTTTTTTAATGAATTATTTTAAATCTACTATTTAACTTAATTTAAGGGTGATAAGGAAATGGAAATGTGTGTTTTAAAGACCTTTTGCATAGTGTTCTCCAGGTGGCATCTTGTTTCTCGTCCCAGGGTGGGTCTGGGCTCCACTGCTGTGCTTTCCCCCCATTGCGTTTTTTGGGGGGGGGGGGCCCGCAGTGTAGATGGGGTCTCTGAGGTTGCACCCCAGTGCACTGGGGGGGTTGGTGGTCTCTGGGATGACTCCTAGGCCACAGGGGCAGCTCCAGCCCCTTCTCCCTCTCAAAAGCGAGGCAGGGCTTTGCTGGTTACAGACCCCCCCCCATGTGCTCTCAGAGCCCCCCAGGTGTGGCACAAAGGGTTTGCCCCAGGCCTGGGCTCTGCTGGGTGTGTTTCCATCCTGCACCCAGATAACTCCAATGTGCAGCTCTGCATGCAGGAGATAATTTGGATACACCTCTGTGGTGTGTGGGAGGAGATCCCTGCGCTGCTCTTGGCTGCCTTTTATATCAGGAAAGGGGGGGAGGAAGGCCGTGTTTTCTTCTGAGTGCCAAACTGCTGAAAAGGCTCGTTTGTTTTAAAGGGAGTGGAAAAGCCCTTTGGAAAGGAGAGCTGTGTGTGGGAAGCCAGCAGTGCCATGCTGGAGTGCCCCAGGAGGGCTGTGCACGGAGCAGAGCACGATGCCTTTCCTGCACGGATTCCGCAGGATCATCTTTGAGTACCAGCCCCTCGTGGATGAGCTCCTGGGGCTGCTGGTGATGCCGGACAGGGAAAGGCAGAGCTCCCTGGAGAGGTAACCAGAGGGGGCTGAACACCCTGGGGGGCTCTAGGGAGGATGATTGGAGCTCAGAGGTCAGGCAGCACTGCTGCTCATCCCATAGCCCCTCCTTTTGCTGCAGTTCTTTGGGAATGTGGGGGTGGAGCAGAGCAAACACAGGGACTGTGTGTGCTCCTCTGGAACTGCCTGACCCCTGGCAATAAAACCTAAACTGGGGCTCAGCTGTGGCCCACAACGAGCAGATTAGAGGGTGGGTACAGGACCAGAGGGGAGGCCAGGGATTTTTGTTATTCTGGTTTTTCTTCTTCCCTGGTACCCCTTTGGCCCTTACACACCTGAGCTATGTGCTGTCCACTGAGTAACTGGTGGGTTTTTGTGTGTCTCAAGCCCTGCCTGTCTGGGCAGTGACAGGAGCCAGCTCTCGGCTGTGAGACGAGTCCTGGAGAGGGAGACCCACTCCCCGTTTTATCAGGAAGGTGTGAGCTATGCCCTGCTGAAGGTCACCGAGCTGGGGCTCGTCCCTGCTGCAGAAATCCTCCTGGAATTTGGTGCTGACCTCAGCTTTGAAGGTGAGGCTGGTGGGAAGGGGGCTGGGCCTGGAGGAACCAGCAGGTGACAAGCTGCCCCTAGAGGTGGGGCAGAAAGAGGGGGAGCTGCCAGCTCAGTCCCCTGCTCCTTGCTGGAATAATGTGAATGTGTTTTGTGGAGACCCAGCCACAAGGATGAACTGGGGGGATACCCAGGGGACCAGTTTGCAGCTTTGGGGGCTTTTGGCAGGATGGAGCCATTGGAGCAGCAGAACCTGGGGGGGGTCTATGACAGCCCTGTTCTCGTGGGCATTGCTGTGTTCTCAGGGCCCGCCCCAGCTGCCTCTTTCCACTTTTGGCAGGTGCTGGGGCCATTCTGGGGAAAGCCCCTCACTCTCCCTGACCATGCTTTTGTCCTCAGATCCCGTCACCTACTACACCCCCCTGCACATCGCGGTGCTGCGCAACCAGCCGGACATGGTGGAGCTCCTGGTGCACCACGGCGCCGACATCAACCGGAGAGACCGGGTACGGGCTCTGCTGCCTGGGCATGGCCCTGCTGAGCCCCCCTGAGCCTTGGCTGCAAGGTCTGCTGTGTGGGGACAGCCCTCCCTGCTCCCCTTCTCCTGGGCCTCACCACACGCTGCTTCCCCTTGGCACATCCCTGTTGTGCCTGTTGTCCGTAGAGCTCCGATGCTGTGGCAGAAGTTCAGGTTGCCTTTGGCTGAGCAAACCTGTCTCTGCTTTGGAGCAGCAGGTGGGAGGAGGCTGGAGGAGACAGACCTCTGCCTATGGATACACTGGAGAAGGTTCACTTTGATTTTTGGGCATGGGTTCAAACACGCTCTTACGCTGGGCATGATGATGCCCCAGCAGCAACTCTCCAGAGGCACTCACAGTGTTTAATTCTTGCAGTGTTTAATGCTTACTGGTGTTCTCTAACCCTCTGTGCAGATCCATGAGAGCAGTCCCCTGGACCTGGCCAGCGAGGAGCCCGAGCGGTTGCCGTGCCTGCGGCGGCTGCTGCAGCTGGGGGCCGATGTCAATGCTGCTGACAAAAACGGTCTGTGTGCCCCATCCACCTGCCCCTGCTGCTGGCCCCCAGGGTGGGCTGGGTCCCTCTGTCCTGCTGCTGCTTGTGCTTCCTGGTTACAAGTGGGTTTGGAAGTTGGGAGCAGGCTGCAGAACCTCCCCATGCTTGGTGTTTTCTCCTTGTGTGCTGACCGTGTGAAAAGGGTTTAAACCAGCCCTGCACAGCCTGTGGGAGTTGGGATGGGACTGTGCCTCCATAGCCTTGTGGTGCCCACGTGCTCTGAAACTCGCCTTGCTGTGGCACGTGTGCCCTCTGAGGCCACCATCAGCCCTGCACATGTGGCCTGTGTGCACAGCTGTTCACCATCACAGGGGCAACAGAAGCCTCCGCCAGAAGGAGGAGGGTTGTGACTCCCTGTGTTTGGCTGTCTGGTGGGTGGGGTGGACTGTTTTCCTTCCTGCCTTTTGGGGTGCCACCCTGCTGTCACGTGGCTGAGCGATTGCTCCATTGCAGGGAAGACAGCGCTGCTGCACGCCCTGGCCAGCAGTGATGGTGTCCAGATCCACAACACCGAGAGCATCCGGCTCCTGCTGGAAGGAGGTGAGGGCGACCTTCTCCCCTTTCTGCACTGGCTGATCCTTTGTGCAGCACCAGGCACTGCCCTCCCGACTCCTTTATGTTCCCACTGGAGCAGAGTAAAGCCCAGCAGTGCCAGAGTTGGTGCTGGCCTGGCCTCATGGTCTGTTACATTTTCTGTCCTTTCCTGCAGGCGCGGACGTCAGGGCCACCACCAAAGATGGTGACACTGTCTTCACCTCCATCATCTTCCTGCTGGGGGAGATGGCGTGCAGCAACACCGAGGAGGCCCAGGTCATCAACCGCTTCTGCTTCCGCGTCACGCAGCTGCTGCTGGCCCACGGTGCCAACCCCAGCGAGTGCCCGGCCCCCGAGTCCCTCACCCACCTCTGCTTCAAGAGCTTCAAATGCCACTTCCCGCTGCTGCGGTTCCTGCTGGAGTCAGGAGCTGCCTACAACTGCTCCCTCCACGGTCCCTCATGCTGGTCAGGCTTCCACATCGTCTTCGAGTGCCTCTGCTCGCACCTCAGTGTCTCTGAAGATGACAGCTTCTCCACAGACCTCATCCAGAAGGGCCAGACTCTGCTGGAGCTCATGATGGCCAGCTCACAAGCCATCCAGCTGCCCAGCAATTTCGAGGTCAACACCAGCAGCTGTAGGTACCACGGGGAGAAGGTCAGGACTCTGTTCTGCTCTCTGAAGCAGCTGGAGCGCTCGCCACAAGCACTGAAACATCTCTGCAGGGTGTTCATCCGGCAGCGCCTTAAACCGTGGCCAGTAGATGTCAAAATCAAGGCTCTACCTCTCCCAGACAGGCTGAAGTGGTACCTCCTCATCGACCACGCTGCTGCCGGGCACGAGGACCTCTGAGCCTGACAGTGCCTCTATGTCTCCTCCCTCCACTGTCCTGCTGTGCCTGCAGCCTCTACATCTCTGCTCTGGACAGTTTTACTCACAGCAAAGAGGTGCTGCTGTCCATGTGCCCATGGTTTGGCCAGTGCTGCCCACGGAGCCCCTCTCTGTGGCATTCTGGGCACAATATCACACGTGTGTCTGTGGAGGTCTCGTCGCTCTGGTGCACATCATGGGGGGGGTGGGAAGAGCTCTGTGGGTCTTTGGGGTGGAGAGAGCTCCTGGGCACTGGGGAGCCAGATACTGGGGCAGAGGGCTGGTTTTGGGGGAGGTTAAGCAAAAGCCTGGGGGCAGGACCAGTGTGTTGGGTGCTGTGTCTGGACAGGCAGCGTGTCCCCTCTCTCCCAGTGCTGCCATGGGTGGGTGACACAGTGCCTTAGGTGTCTGGTGGAGTTGTGCCTCGGGGTGCTGGGAGAAGGAGAGCACTGGCAGCACTCTCCTGGCTTCCTGCCTCCAGTCCTGGTGGTGGAGGCAGGTCCAGCATCACCCTGTGGGTGTGGATGCCTTCCTTGCTCAATCTGGGCTTCTGAATCCAGGGATGGGAGTGAGGGGAAGCAGGGCTGGCAGCGGTGGCCAACTGCTGCACACCCTCTGTGTTTCTGCACCCCATCCTGGCACAGAGGACCATTCACCAGGCATGTCTTGGAGGTGCTGGGCTCCAGAACAGACAAATGGATGCTTCTTGGCTTTGTGGTGTGTTCCCTGTGCAAAGACAAGGAACAGACAGCTAACTGCTGAGTGCCTTGTGCCTCCCTCCCTGTTCCTTGTTTTTTTTCCTTGCTGACTGCTCCCAGGTCCTCATTCTCCAGTGCCTCCTTCCCAGGAACACAGAATTGCAGCAGGACTCTAGGGTTTTCTTTTCAACCTGCTACTGGAACCTGCAAACTCTGGGGCTGCACCTGGAGGGTTTGAGTCCCAGCCTTGCCACCTGGCTCCCTCCTCCTTCTAAGCATCTGCTTTTTTGTGACATGCCAAAGACTGGCTGCAGAGCTGAGCCCCACACAGTTTTGTTTTGGTTTTTTGTTTGTCGTGGGGAACAGATCCTGAAGAGGATGAAAAGAGGAAAAATCTGTTCTGATTAGGGACAGTTTACAGCAGGTGGATCTGGGATTCCCTGGCAGTTTGGCAGCAGAAGGGTTGTCTCCCCCATCAGCCTCCTGGCAGCATCTGAGTTTTACCCTCTCCCGCCCCGTGGAACTGGAGCTGTGTGTCCTGATGACCTGGTGTTTAAAAAAAACCCAGTAATGTGATCAAATTCTGCCCTGGTGTCTGGAATGGGAACTGAGCAATTAAACAAGGCCTTTTGTAATAATGACAGGGGCTTGTTTCTTTTGCAGGGGAGGTGGGGTGGAGGAGGGGGCTCAGGGGGATGGCTGGAGGGTCGGGGTCTGCACATGGGCTGACCCCCTGGCACATGCTGTGCCAGTGTTGGCTACACTGGGCTTGGTTTGGTTGGCCTGAGCCAGGTGCCACCTCCCTTTTTGCTGCACGTGTGGGAGACCTGCTCGCGGGTTTAAAGGACAGGCTCCCTCAAAGCCCCAGAACCTGGTGTTCCCTCCCCAACCCACCACAGGGAAATAAGAGAGATCTCTCCTGTTCCCCTTACCCAGCTTGTTGCTGTGAGCAGCCAGAAGGGGTCAAACACCCAGACATGGAATACAGCCCAGACTGTCCCAGAGGTGCTCCAAGCACCTGTTCACTACCAGAAATCCTGTGGTCAGCAACCTGCTGCTGCCCACAGATCACCTCTTGCATGGGAGACCCTCTTGCTCCTGTCCAGAGCCCCCCGAGGGTGACACCGAGCCAACATGCACCTGACACAGCCCACGTGCAGAAGTGCAACAGCAGGAAAATGTATTTGGCAAACACCTCTTTTCACAGACAGCAGCAACCTGGAAGACAAAGTCCCGTCCTTGTCACCAGCCCCAGAGAAGGGGGAGTCACGACACGGGAGAGACCTCCTCCCGCTGCCCTCATCTCATGGCGAAGGTGTAGACGTGGTAGATCTCGTCAGGGAAGTTCTCCTGGCGCTCCTCGGCCAGCAGGTGCAGCCCAGCCCGGCGGATGATCTTGCGGACCACGTCCAGGTCCCGGCAGACGCTGCTGTCCACATCGTCCATGATCACCCCCTCCTGAGCCATGTTGTCCTTGATGACCACGATGCCGTTGGGCCGCAGGCCAGCCCGGCACCGCTTCAGGAAGTCAGAGAGGTGGTTGTCGGTGAGGTGTCCTGGAGGGGCAGAGCAGGGGTTAGAAGGCACAGGATGACCGGGAGGAGGAGGCTGTGAGGCTGCGTTTGGGATCCCTCCTGATCCAAGTAGCCAAATACTTGAGCCATTTGCAGGGGGAAGCTTTATCTTGGGGTGTCCACCTTTTGTCCCACAACCCAACTCATCCAACCCACACCTCTGCTCTGGCCTTGGAGGGCTTCTGGGAAAAGACCCATGGCGGGGAAAAGCACAGTGCCCTCAATGCCCCTCTGTGGGGCAGGGATAGGGGGCAGATTCACACCCCAAACTCCCACTCATGCTGTGATGCTTATCCTTCATGCAGACCTCAAGCTGCTCTCTCCCCAGCGCATGAGGCACCTGCCCCTCGGGGGAAGCTGGACAGGACAGGTTGGAAGCAGAGCAACCCTCACCGATGACCCACTGGATCCAGATGACATCGTAGGAGTTGGGCTCGGGGCTGAAGTCCTGGAGGCCACAGCAGAAGTAGTTGCGCACCCGCCTGCCCTCCTCGCCCAGGTAACTCTTGGCCTTGGTGAGGAAGTCCTCTGTCACGTCCACCATGTCCACTGTCTTGAAGAGGGGCAGCAGCAGCCGCTTGGTGATCCGGCCGATGCCGGCCCCGCAGTCCAGAGCACGGGTCGTTCCCGTCCGGTTGGGGCCCTCCTGGAACAACAACCGTGAGGGGCTGAATCCCACAGAGAAGAAATGGGAAAACCACATGGGACAGGACTGGGGAACCCGCTGCAGGGGAAAGCTCTCCCAGCATGCAGCAACAGAGGACTCCACAGAGCAACTGGGCGGGAAGAGCACAGCTCCATGCTGGGAGGAGGACAGGGTTTTAAGAGCATGACAGACCATGCCACCTACCCGCAGAAACCTCTGCAGGAACTTCCTGGAGCTGTTGATGTCGATGCTGGAGATGTGGCCGTAGCCCCCCAACATGCCATCCACTGTGGCGGGCACGTCCTTCCAGTACTTCTCTGCCTTGGAGTAGAACTCAAACTCGTTCTCCACCACCTCGCTCGTCATGCTGGCCGAGGGCACGTGCCCACACGGGACTTGCTGCTCTCCTGGGATGGGAAAATCCTGAACCAGGGAGGCAGCGTCAGCCCTGTGAGCACCCCACTTCTATTTGTCACCCCTTCCCCCTCCCCAGGGCTATTTCAATATCCAAAACCCTTCAGCTTAAAAGCTGAAATCCCGATCTAAAACCTCGTATCTTCTGGAGGCCAACAAGCCCTTCCTGGGCAGAGATGCCTCAGCCAGAACAGGCATCCCAGAGCCTTGCTCAGCAATACACCCAATTATATTACTATTTTTTTTTAAGGGTGACCCATCCTTTTTCACCTATTCTGCCTCTTCTTTCCCTGTCTTAACATTTTACAGATTACATGTTTATCTGTGGCAACAGCCCCATCACTCACCTCCAATTACAGCTGAAGTTGCTAAAAGTTATCCTGAGCACCTACCTGAGGATTGTAAATCTCAGCCGTGACCGTAAGTTAGGTATTTGCAATATAATAAAGTCAAGGTATAATCAGCAATACAAGCTATAAATCCCCCCCAGGCATCTCATAATTCAAACCACTGTGGATTTGATTAACTGCGCCGAGGATTAGAAACTAGATTTAAGGTGGCCAAAGGGTAAATTCAAGGACTTCAAACACCTTTACAAATAAAGAAATATATAGTGTCCGTGGCTTGAATTTGCTGGCAAATATCCCATTAGACACAAAACCTTTTCTATGGCAGCTTAGGCAGGTTTGGGGGCCCCACATGGCCTGGAACAGCCTGGGGGTGGAGAAGGGGGACACGGCACCTCACCTTACAGGTCACCGGTGGAAATCCAGTTTGGCTCGGTGGTGCCAGAAGCCGGTCTGTGCTGTGATCTAGGAGCAGAGAAGATGGGATTTTAGTCCCAAACCACCCCTTCAATCCCACCAGTGTGAGTGTGGCTGACTGCAGCCCCAAGGAACTGGAGGTAAGAGCCACCCTGACCCCACAGACACCTCCAGCGGAGGCTGGGAGGCAGCAGCTGCTGCTGCCCCGTAGCTCAGAGGCTGAGCCACAGGGGCAGCCAGGGCATGGAGGGTTCTGGCCCCACTTTTGGAAGCGCTGCTGTCTGATGCCATAGGCTGGGACCCACGTTCACCCTCCAGACACGTCCCCCCCTCCCTGGCTCTGGGTTTGGCTTGGTGACTCCCTGATTACGTTTTTCAGACTGGAGAACACCCAGGAGCCC